ATAGCAAGACCTCATCTCTACAAAAAATTCAAAAATTAGCTGGGCTGCTGCCACGTGCCTGTAGTCCCAGCTACTCAGGAGGCTGAGGCAGGAGGATTGCTTGTAGCCCAAGAGTTTAAAGCTGCTGTGAGCTATGATTGCACACTGCACTCCAGCTTGGGCAACAAAGAGAGACCCTGTCTCATTAATTGATTAATTAATTAATTTTACTTTTTTTATTTCAGCATATTACAAGAGTACAAATGTTTAGGTTACATATATTGCCTTTTCCCCACCCGAGTCAGAGCTTCATGTGTGTCCATCCCCCAGACAGTGTTCACTGTACCCATTAGGTGTATATATACTCATCCTCTCCTCCCCCCTCCCATCTGTCCAACACCTGATGAATGTTACTACTATATGTACACTTAAGTGTTGATCAGTTAATACCACTTTGATGGTGAGTACATATGGTGCTTTTTTTCCCCATTCTTGTAATATTTCACTTAGTAGAATGTGCTCTAGCTCTATCCAAGATAATACAAGAGGTGCTAGATCACCACGTTTTTTTGTGGCTGAGAACTCCATGGTATGCATATACCACATTTCATTAATCCACTCATGTATTGATGGACACTTGGGTTGTTTCCACATCTTTGCAATTGTGAATTGTGCTGCTATAAACATTCTAGCATAGATGTCTTTTTTACAGAATGTCTTTTGTTCCTTTCGGTGGATGCCCAGTAATGTGATTGCTGGAACAAATGGTAGTTCTACTTGTAGCTCTTTGAGGTATCTCCATATTGCTTTCCACAGAGGTTGTACTAGTTTGCAGTCCCACCAGCAGTGTATGAGTGTTCCTGTCTCTGCATTCACGCCAAGATTTATTGTTTTGGAGCTTTTTGATAAAGGCCATTCTCAATGGAGATAAGTGATACCTCATTGTGGTTTTGATTTGCATTTCCCTAATGATTAGAGATGTTGAGCATTTGTTCATGTTTGTCGGCCCTTAGTCTATCTTCTTGTGAAAAGTTTCTGTTCATGTCCTTTGTTCATTTTTTGATAGAGTTGGCTGATTTTTTTCTTGCTGAATTTCCTGAGTTCTGTATAGATTCTAGTTATTAGCCCTTTATTGGATGTGTAATGTGCAAATATTTTCTCCCATTCTGTAGGCTGTTTGCTCTCATGATAGTTGATCAAATCCCATTTATTTATTTTTGTTGTTGCTGTGATTACCGTTGAGGTCTTCTTCGTAAATTCTTTGCATAGGCCAATGTCTGTAAGAGTTTTTCCACCCTATTTTCCTAGAATTCTTATAGTTTCATGTGCCTTAGGTTTAAGTCTACCATCCACCGTGAGTTGATTTTTGTGAGAGGTGAAAGGTGTGGATCCTGTTTCAATCTTCTACAGGAGGCTATCCAGTTTTCCCAGCACCATTTATAGAATAAGGTTTCTTCCCTCCAATATATGTTTTTGTCTGCTTTGTCAAAGGTTAGATGGCTGTATGAGGATGGTTTTATATATGGGTTCTTGGTTCTGTTCCATTGGTCTATGTCTCTGTTCTTGTGTCAATTCCATGCTGTTTTGGTTACTATAGCCTTCATTATCCAAACAGAAATCTAAAAGTTAGAAACAACAGCTGATCCAGATGGGAAGAAATGAGCAAAAAAACTCTAGAAGTAAGAAGAATCAAACGGAAAGCATATCCCCAAAGGGAAATGCCATATTTCTAGCAATGCATATTAACCAAATTCAGAACAGTAAAATGAGAAAAGAAGAATTTCGAACATGGATTATAAGAAAACTCAATGATGCAAGAGAATGGATACTCAACTCAAAGAAACCACACCAAAAAATCCAGCACTTGGAAGAAAAATTCACTAAAGAAATTGAAAATATTAAAGAAAAATCAAACAGAACTTCTGGAAATTAAGAATTTATTCAAGGAATTACAAAACACAATGGAAAGCCTCAAGAATAGAGTAGATCAAAGAGAAGAAACAATCTAAGGGATTGAAGATAACACCTTTCAATTAAATAAGTCAGTTGCAGAGATAGAGTAGAGAAGTAAGAGAAAAAAGCAAAGCCTGTCCCTTAGGAAAAAAAAAAGATACCTGTTGTGCACTTAGAAATAGGTTACTAGGGCTGAGGCCAGTCTTAAGGTTGGCACATGCCTTATCATTTCATTTACTTTATTTTATTTTAAAACTCAGGTTACAATATACAAAGTATGCAACTTAGAATTATTGAAATATAGAGTTTATGAGTTGAAGCATGTAAGTTATTTTAAGTCTAGATAAAGGTAAAAAATGGGACTGGGAAGAATATGAACATTTATGGGTGGCAGAAGAGGAAGAGTCAGTGAAAAAGATGGAAAAGAAAAGGTTAGCTAAGTAGGAGTTGAAACAAATTGGATTTGTGTCCAGGAATTCACATGAGAAGGCCCAAGGCTTTAGGAAGGTGCGCTAAAGGTTCAAAAAGTCTGAATTGACTATGGACTATAAAATTCTAAATTTTGTTTTAGATTTGAAATAAATCTTATTTATGTCTTTGACTGGAAGAAGACAACAATTTTGTTAGTCTTTCGTATACTGAATGCCAAATGATATTTTTTAATACTCGCCAGCAAATAATATACTATTGACCCTTGAACAACATGGCTTTGAACTATGCAAATGCACTTATATGCAGAATATTTTCAACCAAACATGGAACCAAAATACTACATTCACAAGATGTGAACCCACATCTGTGCAGGGTTTTGTTTATGTGGTCTTCTCAGGGCAGACTGTGGGACTTTAGCATGTACGCAGAGGTGGGGGGCCTGGAACCGATCTCTTGCATATAGGGATGACTGTATTTGTTTATACATTCATATTATATCACTTACTAAAATGAATAATGCCACTTGAAGCTTTTAAATTATACTTCTACATATTGAGGTAAAATACATTTTTCTGAGTATATAAAAAACTATGTTAATAGTATTAATTGTGGAACAATTGCCAACTACAGAAATGTGAAGAAAAAATGAAAATGACTTATAAACTCATCTCCTGGAAATAACCACTGTAATATGTAGGTAAATTTGGTTTCAGTCTTTTTTGTGTGCAAATATAGATATGTGCATGCATCAAGGTGTTTATGCAAGTGTTTCATTTCTTTGCAACTTTTGTACCTAGATTTATATCATGAACAAGATCCCATATCCTTGAATGTTCTTCAAAAATAATTTTTTATGGCTGCAAAATACTATATGGATATTCCATAATTATTTGCTTTTTTCCCCCAGGTGACATTTAGATTATTTCTAGTATTTCATTTAAAATAATGATTAATATTTACCTGTAATTCTTATGATTTTCTTGGGCTAGATTTCTAGAAGTAGAATTAGTCCATGAAGGCTATGAGCATTCCAAGACATGATACATATTATTGTTCTTGTGTATATTCCTTGATATGTAATAGCAATTTACTTCTCTCCTAACAATGTAGGAAGATGCACATCTTATTATCACATAAATATTTTCATTAAGAAAACCTTCCCAGGACATATTTAGATTATTTAATATTAGGATACAATAGTCATGTAGTTACTATTCTTAGAGTAAATATTCTCCTCTTTTGATAGAATCCAAATATCTGAGGTATAAATAGCAACATGTTATTGATCACCTTCCTTGAATAAGGCTAGGTTTTGATAATGAGAAAGAGTATAAAGAATAGTTCTTGCCTTATATTCACATAGAATTTTCTTTTTTGGATGTTTGTTCTCTAGTCTATATATAAAATACATTAAAACCTTTCTATTCTAACTGGGCATATGGAAATTATAAGCTACTACTTCCCCAAAAAGCACTCACTTTTTCAGCATAAATTGGTAGGAGAAATTCAGTGGGGTTGAGAAGGGTGACTGAGTTGTAACAGATCTTTCTATCTAATTTTGTATACAGGTGGCAAATGCATTATTAAAAGAGTGTTTAGTGTCTTAGGTTTGAAGTGAAAATTGTAATTAAAGAGGGTGTCCTCTCCTACATGTTAGTATTTTACCATAGGGGTCTTGTCTATCTTGTGAGTTTTAAAAGAACAATTAAAAGTTATGCTATTTCTGTTTCAGTGAAAGGCACACATTTCCCTAGTGTCAAATAAGTATTTTAATCTAAGAAGATTCATTGGCATGTTTTAAATATCTTGACCATATTATTTATTTTAAATTACAACTGTAACTTCTCCAAATCTTGGGATCTTGTATAATCTTAGGTGACCATAATGTAATGTTAGTTTGCCAACCATATTTCGTTATTTCATGATAGCCTATATTTGTGTTCTTAAACTTAATATTTTCTCCATTACCTATATTTTATTTTTTAAGATAGATACTGAGTGGCATATGAGAATACAGTCTAAAACTTGATTGGCAAAATAGGTTTATCCAGTCTTTTATCGTAGGATTCTTTAGTTCTTCAAGATTTATTTTTAAGGAATAGAGAATCATATCACTAATACTAATGCCTTGATGTTTTAATAATTGTGACTATGATATTTTTGCTTCTTTTTTTATTTGTCTTGCCTCTTAATTAGAAGAAAAACTACCGTAATTAAGGCCAAGAACTGTGCTTTACATATCTTTTTATTTCCAGCAGGCCCCAGCTTGAACATTCAAAGTAATAGATGCTCAGCAAACAAGTTTTTATTTACTTATGAAATAAAAGAAAAAAGTGATAGATTATTATTGTTTATAAATAGAAATCATTCGCAATGTTTGTTCATTCTGATATTTTGTCTAGAAGTCCAGTGTACTATTCTGTTGTCCCGCAGAGCCGGGTTTACTTTGATATTTTATAATAGATAAATAGCCATCACTTTTTACTGTTGAGTGAAAATCTAAAAGAAAGGAAATAATGTTTTTATATGTATTGGACCTTGTATTTGGACTAGTTTTTTATACAACAGAGCCATTGTCATTGAAGCATCACTCTCTTCTCATTTATTTGTCTGTTTTATTGCCATATTATTTTCAGGGACTCCCGAGAGCCTAGCTGAGAAAGAGAGGCAACTCATGGGCATGATCAATCAGCTGACCAGTCTGCGAGAGCAACTATTGGCTGCCCACGATGAACAGAAGAAACTAGCTGCATCTCAGATTGAGAAGCAGCGCCAGCAAATGGAGCTGGCTAAGCAGCAACAAGAACAGGTAAGTAAGAACTGAGATGCGATCAACTTCCTCAGACATTCCTCTGATGAATGAGTCCATCCGTCCACCCCAATTAAGTAAATAAAAAGGCAAAATCCAAAGCAAACACAGAAAAACCTAGATCTTAAAAAGCTTATTAAATACGTTGGTGGTAAGTAGCATAGAAGTAATTGTAAACAAGGTAAATTCTGATAGGTCATGAGAGAAATACCAGAAAGAACCATGGAGGGTCAAGAGAACATTCTAGTAAGAAACATTTTGAAAGAATTCATTAGAGAGGTGACATTTGAGACAGGCTTTGAAGAGCAGGTGGGACTCAACAAGTAAAGTGAATTTCCAATTAGGGAGTAGTAAGTTCGGTTGGGAGGCTGTTATAATAATTTAAATGAAAAATGGTGAGAATCTAAGCAGAGTAGTGATCATGGACAAAGAGAAGAGAAAAGAAAGGAATAAACAGGTGGAAGAGTTATGGTTAGTAACAATTTGGGGGCAAAAGGGAGAGGAAAAGTGTTGAGTCTCAGTAATAGGGAGAATGAGAATGTCATCTCTAGATACAGGAAAAATTAGGACAAATTTGGAAAAGAAGGTGGTTTTATTATGTTTAACTAGGGCTGTTAGTTTCCCCATTTGGAGATATGTGAGAAACAGCTAGAAATACCAATCTGCAGTTCAGAAGAGAGGGTTGAACTAGATTTTTTAGGTTGTTTCCTTAGAGATGGTGTTTAAACCCTGGAGTAGATAACATTCATTCATTTATTCAACTAATAATAATCGAGTGCTTCTTATGTGCCAGGTACTGTGCTCACTGATTGCTGAGGCTGTGTCAATTAACCAGAGTGACAAAGCCCCTAAATTCTAGTGGAATGAGAGATATCATTAACAAAGGAACAAATAAATTAACAAAATAACATCAGATAGTGATAAGTAACTTGAAGAAATGCAAAAAGAGTGATATGATAAATGTTGACTGGTATGACAAGTCAGTGCTTCTTAGATTGGGTGGTTGGATAAATCTTTCGGAAGCTGTGGCCACTGGGCTTATTTTCAGGGACTCCCGAGAGCCTAGCTGAGAAAGAGAGGCAACTCATGGGCATGATCAATCTAAATGTCGTATAAGAGGCAGCCATAGTAATATCTGGGGCCAGAGTATGTCATGCAGACATATGGCATGTTTATAGGCCTTAAATTAGAGTGGAAATATCACAAGAAAGTAGAAAAGAACTAAGGGTAGATCCTTGGGAGATATGGGAATATAGCTGGCAAAGAGAGGAAAATGAACTTATCCAGAAAGAATCAGATACAGAACGGGGGCCAGGAGTTTGGTGTCATAGGAAACAAGAAAATATGGAAATTTTAGGAAGTAATAGGCGACAGTGTTAAATGCTACAGAAAAGTAGTTATTCTAATATAATTGAAGGTACTAGGTTTGTCATTTAGATTCTCATTGTTAACCTTGAAGAGTGAGTTTTAGTAGCAGGAATCAGACAATAACTGGCAAGTATGCAGTAGGACATGGAGGCAATGCCTATGAATTATTATTTAAAGAAATTAATAGTAAAGGGAAGGTATGATAGAGGGTTTCATAGGGTCAGGTTACAGAGAAGGATGGTGCCACTTTTCTACAGCTAAGTCCCATTACTGTCCCATGTTACAGGCATGTTACAGTCCACTCACTACTTCAAGTAGAGGAAGGCCACTATTTAATCAAGGGTATTTGTGTGTCTACACATGCCTGCAAAACCTTCTGAACAGCTTTCAAAATATAAACTAGCAGACTTGAAAGAGATGAATACTCAGATTATATTTGGGGGGCACCTGCTCCCCCTATGTTATTTCCATTTCATTCTTCTCTGCTCAGGTTCATCTCTGCCTGAAAGATGATATTTTTATTTTTAATAAAATGCCTCATCACTTTCGTTAAAGATATATTTGGCCTGTTATTGCTTATGGCCCATATTTGTCTTGGCTTTACCCCATGATAAAAGAGTTCAGAATGTTTGCCTGTGCCAGTATAAAACACACCATACTTTTTTTTTTTTTTTTTTTATCCTTAATTCTCAATCCTTCAGACATCACAATTCTGGAGAATCCTAGTAGCCTCTAAAGATTTAGCTTAGATGGGAATATTTCTTTGTAGAGCATCTCTACTTATTTTGGTAAATCTAAAGGCACACCTGTCCTGAAAACTTTAAGAAATCACTGATGGAGAGGAAGTTTCTTTTCTTCCTCTTTCACATTCTGCCCAATCCCTGAAGATCATTAAAGGATTCTAGAATCCTTTGATTCTACTGCTTTCTCAAGACCTCTGACATTCTCCTTAGAACTCTAGATACCATTAGGTTCTTCCGGGATTTCTCTCCTCTGTTGGCAAGATGTCCCGAAATGCCACCTCCCACAGCCTGAGAGAAGAGCCTTGGTGACAGCTACAGGTCAGGTTTCCAGAGCCTATTTGGCTCTCCCAGCTGCCCTCTACCATACTGAGCTGGCAGGCATAGTCACCACTCTGTGTTCACAGATCTCCTCCTGAAGGACATTTAATACTTACTACTTAAGAGTCAGGTCAGGTTCATCTTCTTTTAAGAAGTCCTTTCCTGACGCTCCTCCCACCACTCCATACTCAGCATAGTACAGCCCTACTCTGTGCGCTCTAGTAGTCCTATTACAGCCCTTACAAACGCTAAGGGTTCTGTTCACTGACCAGCCTTTCTACTAGATTCTGAGCTCCATTCCGCATTCATCTATTCAACAGATGTCCATTGAGCACCAATCTGATGCCAGATTCTGTTCTAATTACTGGGGGTTCAGTGGGGGAATAAAAAAGGCAACAATCTCTCATGTGCTGAAATCTAGTTGAGAGAGACAGTAAGCAAACCAGTAAACTACAGTGTATGTTGATAAGTATTAGTTTGAAAAATAAGGCATGGAATTGGGGATGAGGGTAGCAGATAGAGGGATATGCTCTTTTAAAATGGGTGCTCAGGGAAGACCTCATTGACCAGGTAGCATATTTGAGCAGAGACTTCTAGGAGGTGAGAGAGTGAGCCATGGGGCTGTCTAGCCAAAGAGTGTTCCAGACAGATGGGAAAGCAAGTGCAAAAGCCCAGAGGCAGGAGTATCCTTGGGAGTTCGGAGCATCTTTGGTATGTTCAAAAGGCAGTTCAGAATGTGATGCAATCAAGTGGAGTGACAAAAGGAAGAGAGGGAGGAGATGAATTTGGAGAGGCAGTAGCAGGCCAAATCATAAAAGGCCTTGCAGTTTTTATATGGACACTGGCTCTGAATAAGACAGAAGGATTTTGAAAAGACAAAGAACATGACACAATTGTATTTTTTAAAAAGGAGATCTCTGATGCTGGTCGGTAACAGACTGTAGGGAGCCAGGGCAAAAGCACAAAGAGCAAACAGGAGACTGTGGCAACAATCCAGGCGAGATGCAATGGCTTAGAACAGGGGAAAGTGTGGAGAGGTAGGAAGTGGTCAGGCTTTTGATATAGTCTTAATGTTCTGTTAAAAAGATTTAAATATAACCATGAAATATTGATATGAGGGAAGAAGGAACCAGACTTGAGGAAAGAGTAATATTCTTTTTTTCTACCACCTCGTTTCCTTTCTTTGGAAAAAAAGAGTTATCTTCTTTTACCATATTCCAAAGATAAAATGTAAAAAAATTCATTATAGGGCAGGCAAAGTGGCTCACACCTATAATCCCAGCATTTTGGGAGGCTGAGGCCAATCACTTGAGGCCAGAAATTACAGACCAGCCTGGGCAACATAGTGAGACCCTATCTCTGAAAAAAAATTTTTTTTTTCACTGTGCAGCCTTGTAGACCCATCCCATCATATAGGTTCTTTACTTTTATTCATGGTAAATTTTTTCCCTGAGTTTTAACTTTAGAAGTTAAGGGATTTATTTTTTAAATGAAAATGATAGTGATTATAACTTGAGAATAAGATCTAGAGTTTATGAGAGTGTGGTAAGTCTCATAAGATTAGAAGATACTTTCATAGGAAGGTTTTCTACCCTATATCATATAATGAAGTGTCTAAAATTTTCTTCTCACCTATGCATTCATTAATGCATTCCACATCACATTTGTACCGAGCTACATGCTGATAGGGAGGAAAATACACATGGTCCCTACCCTCAACAAATTTATGGATTTACCCTATGAGACAAAAAGATGTTAATAAAAGGAAAACACCAAATAAATATAAAATCATAGCATGGGGCATAGTATTCAATAAATACAGAGGGTGTTATGAGTGCAAATAACAGGGGAGTGATTGTGCTGTTCCCTAGGTTAGAAAATACCTAAGATGACTATATGGAGGGCCAGATCTCCAGTTTAGTCTCAGACTGGTTGAATTTGAGTACCTTTGAATAAGTTTCTGGATAAATGGGTCTGGAGCTAGAGAAACAAGTTTAGAAGCACTCGGCATACATGTGGAAGTAAAGAGGGGAAAAAATGGCATCTGAAATTGAGCCTTAGAGAATTACATTTAATGGCTGGACAGAGACATTAAAGGGTACTGGGAAGGAATAGACATGAGAGATAGGATCAAAACCACGAAAGTGTGATGTCATAGAAGCCAAAGGAGAAAGTTTAGGCTCAAGGGAAAGCATTTAAGTGTTGAATTCCGATGAGAGGTCAAAATGGGAGGACTGAAAAACACTTCGGAATTAGAAATGAAAGTGATCAGTGACCTCCTTAAGAAACATTTCGATGGAGAAATGGGAACAGAAACCAGAATGGAGTATGTTGACAAGTCAACGATGAGTGGTTTGTAGGAAGTAGAAATGAGAACAGTATTTACCAAAAAAAAGCCCCAGAAAATACCAAAAAATCCCCAAACACACCCAAACTAAGGAAGGTATCTTATAATACTTTGGGTTACTCTGAATTCCTAAGTCACAACAACCCCCTGTTTATGCAACACTCTTGCTGTTGTAGAGACTGTCCGACAGTATCAGAGGCAGTGCCTTCTGAATACATCACCGGGAAGAGGGATTTTTGAAATTCTAACGTTCCTTTCTGGGAAATTTCACCGTCGTAGTATCTTAGGCTTCATTCATGTTAGGCCAAAAGGAACATTAACTGTTCCCAAAGACTAAATAGCTTGTTCATCCTTCTTAAGGATGAACTGCTGATAATTTGGAGCCACAGGCACATCTGTTTTCATCGTTTTAACTAGTGTCATAGCAAACCTTAAGAAACAGAACATTGATAATTTCAACCCTCCCCCCCCGTGACTGCAATATACTTTTAAATGTTTGATGTACAATTTCTCTACAGATTGCAAGACAACAGCAGCAGCTTCTGCAGCAACAACACAAAATCAATTTGCTCCAGCAACAGATCCAGGTCAGAAATCCTAATTTCAATTAAAAAAAAAAAAATAGATGCTGTTTCTTATTCTTACATGACCTTTCTGAAGTGACCTCCAAAATAAAAATGACTTTCAGCCCAATTCATGACGTGTCACCTCCCGTGCTACGGATATCTGTCACAGGCCCTACTGTGCCAGGGAGCTTCAGTTTAAACAAGCTAACAATAATTTTCACCTTACCCTGAGAAGAAATTACTGCAGGGAAATGTTTCATTTTCTCCTGACTTTAATGTTTAAAATGTGCCTGTAAATGGTCTTCAAAAGGGTAGGCACAGGGAACCAAAGTTAGAGACGGCCAGAAAGAAATTTTTTACTGTGTGCCCAAGAGCCGTGTGTGATAAAGGTGGAACACAGGGAAGGGAATGATTTGGTGTTCAAATGGACTTACTTGTGGTATTGCCTGGAGAAAACAAGTCCGAAGGCTCTGCAACCCCCGTATTTTTGTTATATGGAAATTCACAATGATAAGGAAAATAAATATAAGAAGGAAGGAAACAACTGTACTAGAAAAGAAAGGAAAAAATATTGCTATCAGGGATGTCTTATTTCCACCATTTGCTAGTGTCGTGAATTTTGACAAAATGCTTTGTTTCCCTTTATGAAAATTTACTTTATGAAATGTACTTTTTGCCTAGAGATTTTTGAGGATTAAGTGAAATCATGGAGTAAAGAGCCTTGGCATAGTTTCAGGGCACATGGTAAGTGCTCAAAACCTACCTGCTATTACTATCAAGGAACTCAATTTCTGGAGCTATGAATCCAAACCTCTGTAACACTATCTATCTGGAGGTAACTGTTAGATTTGCAGTCAGCTAATCTGGAGAGGAATTCATCATTCTCTTGAAGTTACGTCTCGAGAATTCAAAACATTTTATTAGGAGTAAATATCATAAATGACAGAAGCAAATATGCCAAGACTATTTTATCCTTGTATGAATCATGTTTTAACTTCTTTGCCAACAAATTCTCTCCCATTTAATCGACTTGTGTCAGGTACACTTAATTTCTTTACTCTGGATTTAACAGCCCAGTCAGTGTTTATCCTTTCTTCTTCTAATTGGGATTTTAGTGAGCTGGTGACAGCTTCAGTGAGATAGTGGGACATCAGTGAGATGTTTTAACCAGGGATCTTTGCCTTCCTTAACTGTAATTATGATCAACACATTTCTAATGTGTTATTATCTATTCATATCTGGAGTATGGTTATTCATTTCAATAGTTTAAAACTGTTCATTGGACTTCATGTTGTTCAGGCAGAACACACTGACTTTGAATGTCTTTTTTAGTTGATTGTACAAGGTTATCTGCATTTAAAATGTTTTTAAATATTAAAAAGATAATGTATTGAAATTGTTATGGCAATGTCTCATTGTAAATAAGATATAATTCCATAATCAGCAATGCGGTAAGTCACTTGGTTTCACTGCAATTTGATGAGGGTACCAATAGTTTTAAAATTTTATAATTTCTATAAGACTAAGTCCTTTGTTAAACAGAATTGCAAAAGTACATCTAAATCCATATTATAAATATGTATAAGTCTTAATAAACTGTGTTCTGACCAATTAATTACATTAGCCAGTACCGTCAATGCTTTTTTTAGGAATGATTCTACATTATGACCACTGTATTCACAATGTGGATTTTAAGCCCTGTATAATGACAATGAGTTTAAATGGATGGATTATTGGTCCATTCTATAGTGCCACGGAGTACTATAATTTATAAGTCAGAGCATTTTTGAATGAATGGTACTGGAAAAATTATCTGTCCTAGAAATGATGTGATTATAGAAACTGGAATACAGAGAGTAAAGGCCAAGTTTAATGACTTGCTCAAGATCACACAATTAGTTACCGGTGGAACTTGGATTGGAAGCAAAGTTTTCTAACTACTAATATAAATTTTGCCAAGTATGAGAGTTTTAAAAGCTTAGAATTTCTATTTAATCAAAATGTTAATCAGTTGGCTTCCACAAATTCACAGAGGGGCAGGAGGGGTAGTCCCTAAAGGAAGTAAAAGTCACACTGAAAGTAATTTAGGGGAAACTTTTCAGACATGTTGAGATATATGTGTATTTGTCCCCTTTCCAGGGTTAGTGCAGATAAATGAAACTAACAGAGTCAAAACCCATCAAGCTACTATTAAAAAAGAAAAAAAGTCTGGGAAGCAGGGAACATTTCAGACAACAAATAATAAGTACTGAGCAAGACTGACAATCTGAAAGGAATTCATTTTCACAGCTTCTAGTATATTCATTAACTAAAAGCACAGTTCTAAAATATATTTTGTAAATTGTTAATTTGGGACAGTCTTACAAACACTTAATAGTTATGAAAGTCACAATATATTTGAATTATTTAGTCTACTGAGAGATTGTTCAAACAATTATGGGAAGCACTCATGTAGTGGCATGTGTAGAAATAGGAAATTAAAAATGTAGAACAGAACCATTTTTTCCCCTTATAAATCCTTACATTATTTCTTTTAGAATATTTTCTCTTCCCTCTTCTCTTTCTTCCCAATGCTTCTTTTTTCTAGGAAGCAGAGAGCAAAGATGAAGAAGAGTAAAAATAGAACCTGCTAATGTAGAGGGAAATAAAATTTATAAAAAACATAAAATTTATTTTAATCAAAAATGCGTAATCAAATGCTCACATAACAATTTACCATAGATTTATTTTATTTGCTATTTGAAAGTACTCTTGTATTTTGATCTGTGTTTTCTTCCTTAAATACGGAACCTTAACACCTTGTAGAAATAAACACACCAACTTATATTATTCCTCCTGATTGCATTTTCTTAGATGTTTTGTACCATTGTTGTTGCCCCAGACTTTAGAAAACAATGCATTCCAGTTGCTCTTATAGTCCACAATTAAGGCTGCCTTTAAAATTTTTCTTTGAATTATAAATACAAAAGACATCAACTTAGTTCAAATGTTAATAAAGGCATACAGTTGTGTTAGATCTGTTAGGTGATTTAGATTGATAGTTTAAGAATTAGAGCAGGACAAATTTTTATACTTGATGGATATATTAAATGATAGGAAGGATAATATTCCCAAATGTTTTCCTCTCTTTTAGTGAGATCTCTCTAAAGGAGAATGTATAAATAAAAATGTAATTTATACTTTTTTATTCCATATGAAATATATATCATTTGATTTAAAAAGCACAAATAAGTTTGTATGTTTGTGTGTATGCACATTCACATATTCTAATAACCATATTATTTAAAATTTTTCTTGGCCTGTTAATTCTAATTTTTCTCAACACCTAAGGAAAAGAGTGATGGTAGGTATTTATTCAAAGAGAAAATGCCATAACAATTTGCAAGTGAACCAGTTTTATGTAATCAGGATCGGTTCTTAATGAACTGTTTCTTTAAAAAGCAACCTGAGCTCAAAAATTGCATAATTCTAACTGGATTGAAAACTCAATCTACATTTCTTCCTTATAAAGACTTTATAGGGTTACAGTCTTCTGCCAGGTTTATTCATATAACTCATTAGGATTAAAAGAAGAATTTAAAAAGTTTTCTGCTATTCTTTGGAACATCATAAATCAGTACACCTTACAAATAAAATCATGTCATAATATCAGACACATCCATCTTCCCTCAGGAAGTATGTACAGTTATTTATAAGAATCAATTTTAGGAACACTAAGGAGTTTCCGTCTTCTTTTTCTACTATTTGGCAATATTTTCATTCAGTATTTTTGTTTATTGACCTTAAAAGATAGAACATTTTTGCATTTCCTTTTAATATATCTAGCTAACTTTTAATGTATATTCATACATAATATGAAATCTGTAAATATTTGAGAGGAAAATACCTTTCTAGATTTTTTTCTGAGGGGAAAACTTATTTTTCTCTTACTTTATTGATTATTCTACAGTGCCCATCTTTAAGCAATTGTATTTCCTAATTCCTGTTCCATGTGAAATTAACCTGTTTCTAATATTGATGGAGGGTTTATGTTTCCAACAATGATCCTAGGCCAGTGGTTCATCTTGACCTGATTAACTGACACTAAAGCCTTTTACAGTAAGTGATTGAGAAACTTCTACTCAAATTCCATCATGACAATAAATTGAGTATTCCTGGATATCCCAGTTTCCTTTAATGTTGCAGCTTCTTTTTTTGTAAGAGCCAGTTGTTATTGGTCAATAATGTTGCAGCTTCTGATGGGATAGGGTTTTTATAGCTTTGGGTAGATATATAAGAAGCTTGTCCTAGTTATGAGTTTCTTACTTTTTTTCAATAATATTTAATAGAATTTAAGGTTCTTGTCAGCAACTAGGAGAGTTAATCCAACAGTGTGCTCTAGAGTGAAATCCACTTAAGAGATTTTTAAGGGCAAATTTAAAGATATTTTACTTCTTTAAACTGTATATTTATCACGATTCCCATACTAGGGGATCAGTGTTTGAACTTCAATAAGAGATTACAAAAATGCATTTCCCTCTCTGATTAACTTTTCTAACTATTGTTCATTGTGTTCTCTTGGGAGCAAAAGAATTGGTATTTAATAACTCCTCTGTCATTGTTTCTGATTCATAAGGTAAGCATGTGCAGGACTAGTCATAGCTTTGGGTCACTGATTCTGTCTGAGCTAAGGGTAGAGCAAAGGAAATATTTCCATGCTCTTGTATTCTTAGTTGGGCAGTGTGCATTCCATATTATATAGGAAAGAACTTGGTTCTTTAGGTAGTATAGGATTATATTTATCTGTATAACATACAATTTTAATTATATTAAAAATTTTTTTAAAGAAAATGTTGAGAGCAGGATTTTGGAATCAAATACACCTGAATTCAGTGTTCGCATCTTCATACCTGATATCTGCTGTGTGATCATGGCAAAATTGCTTACTCCCTCTGAATTTCATTGTTCCTGTCTATAAAATGGGGACTATAATACCTACCTCGTATCTGGCTACTTTGAGGATTTAATGGAATCATGTCTGG